CCATTTTTACACATGCATGAATGTTTACGTGGCCTCACGCTCATTTATACGCATGCGTGCATGTTAAAGTGGTCTCACGCTCGTTTTTACACATGCATGAATGTTTACGTGGCCTCACGCTCATTTATACGCATGCGTGCATGTTAAAGTGGTCTCACGCTCGTTTTTACACATGCGTGCATGTTTACGTGGCCTCACGCTCGTTTATACACATGCGTGCATGTTTTTGTGGCCTCACACTCATTTACACGCATGCATGAATGTTTACGTGGTCTCACACTTATTTACATGCATTTACTATCAGGATGAGGGTTCTGTTGTCCCTTCTTTCTTAACGCCTCTGTTCTGCCCCCCTCCACGGCAGTTCCCCCCAGTCCCCCCATTCTGGAGGCGCGGGACGACCTGGTGAGCGAGGGCAACGAGACAGAGCTGAGCTGCACCGCCATGGGCAGCAAGCCCGCCGCCTCCATCCGCTGGATGAAGGGCCCCGAAGAACTGCAAGGTGGGTTGCCCCAGGCGATGCCTCATCAGGCCGACCCGGTCAGCTGCTCCGATGCAGCCTGTCAAGCAGGGAGCCCAGTGGGCGGGGCCGGGAGGAGCTCCTGCCGGGTATCTGCTGCAGGGTATTGTCTGTGGCTCCTGCACTAGTTCCAACAGCCGGCTCGGGTCCAGTACGACATGGGTGTCTGCTTTGTGAAGCACCTTGGATATGCTGCGGGATGACATGGATGAAATGTTTGCAGATATTAAGCTTATTGTTAATTACATGAGTTTCTTAAAATGACTTTCCATTTGCCAAACTGTGCTTCAGTATATCGTTCTGATGTTGGTGTGTCAATTTATTTTTCATTTTCTGCTGCAAGAAGAACTTTCTGAATGAAAATTGAATCTTGAAAAAATGGAATTAAGTCAGACGAGCCGCCGTAGGAGGGGCTACGGGCCGGTGGTAGCAGCCTGAGCGTGCCACGGCGTGTTTACATGAGGCTAGCTGGGCTGCCATGCCCGCACCAGTCTGTGTGCGCGCGCACCCCGTCGCCATGGTGAGGAGAGATACGGAGCGGCGAGGAGGCGTGAAGCAGCTTCTGCTTTGCCGCTCGGATCTCGGCGGTCCCTGCCAGTAAATTGCTTTTGGCCGTCCTGCTGGGGGATTTCGATTTAATTAAACATGTTCATCTTTCAACCTAATTGCTTATAAGATGTTTAAGCCTCTTTTTTAAAAAAAATATTGTTCAAAGGTTACAGCAACTTAACTAGGGAGTGTAAACACTGCCATCCTGATATGCAAAGCTGTTTACTTCCACATAATTTAGTCATTTTTATCCTGAACTCATTTAAACTGCAGTACTGGTGTTCCCATTTTGTATCTCCTGCTTACTGTAAAGCTCGATTGGGGGGGTGGGGTGCGGTGTGCTGTCACCAGAAACTGGTAGGTCTGACCTAGACGACCAGAAGAAAGACCTTTTTGGGGGGGGGGGGGACTGTCTCCTGGGACCTGGACCTCCAGGCTTCGGGGTTGGAGGAAGCTCATCTTGCTCCCTTAATGTCAAGAATTACTTCATACTTCTTAACCTGAGGCTCCAAGTGGGAGTAGTTTTGGATTAGGGCCTTGGGAGATGGTATCGATTTCTGCATTTATCATGTCTGTTTATAGTCCTTCTTAGAAAGCTCTGCTACGATCAGGTGTGGCATCGTGCGCAAGGGCCCAGGCATGGCGGAGACCCCCATGTAAAGTGCCTTCCTTCTGGGGTACCCAGTGCCTCTTTTTACGTTTGAGCTCCTGGCCCCCAGCAGGGCCACACACTACCATCACTGTCCTGCGCGTGCATCTGGCCGTGGTTTGGAAATACCGGGTCATGCGATGACCTTTTGAAGGGCGTGACATTTCGGTGAAGTTTTTGTGATTGAGCAAAGGGCGCGCGGCCAAAGACAGAGCCTCTTTACTGTACCTGAGCGTAGAGATGCTTGGACAGAAGACCTGGTGCTGGCCCGTTAATGATAATCACACATGTAGACATCTGGGAGGATGTTTCCTTTAAAGGTGATGTCCATCCAAAAGTTATATTAAGCTTTTTAATATTTAAAGGGGATGTCCACCAAAAGAATATGTTAAGCATGCTCATTTGATTTTTTAAATATTCATATGTCCTTTGAGCTTCTTTGAGAACTTTGCCAAGATATTGGTTTGTGTTTTATTTATGTACTCTTTGTAGTGGTATATAATTTTATATGTAAAGTACAAAACATTATGTTAAGTTATGTATTAGTCCTGTTGTGTGTGAAGGACATTTGGCACTAGAACTCGTGAAAATAGCCTCCTCGGTGAGAGTTTTGCTCCATCTCGTGACCGTGCTGCCTCACACCTCCAGGAGAGACCATGGTGGAGGAGACCTATGACCACATGTTTACCGTCGTCAGCCGGCTCTCACTCACAGTCACCAGGGAGGACGACGGTGTGCCAATCATCTGCATAGTGGACCATCCGGCGGTGAAGGATCTCCAGACCCAGACGTACTTGGAGGTGCAGTGTGAGTACAGCTGGCCCAGCTCTGAACTCCATCCTCACCATACCTATGGAACTCCACCCTCACCTTGCCTGTGGATCTCCACCCCCACCTTGCCTGCCTGTGTCACCCTAACTCCACCTCCACCCTGAAACCAAGCCACTTCACGCCCAGTGACCGCTCTGGTCCTTAAGGGTTAAGAGGGAGCCTGAGCTGTTTAGGGCGATGTAACAGACTCTTATATAAGCGTATTGATTAAAAGCAGCAGTGTATCTAAGTGTATGTTCTCTGGTGAGTCTGGTAAAGGTTAACCTACCCTTTTGCAGCACATTCGTTTATTCTGAAAGAGGAGGATCTCTCTGACCTTTCCACATAAAAGACAGGAAGGATCAGCTTCGCCACAACAGCTTGACATTTTTGCAATCTTGGATTACCGCTGATAAGGGGAGGGGGGGGGGACGTTTAGCGCACTGCTAAATTAACGGCCAGGGTCTCGGCACTGGAGTCCCGCCAGGAGAAGGAGGTGTTCTGGGGGCGGGAGCAGCACTTTAAAGTGGAGCTTGAGATCGGGGGGGGGGGGGGCGAGTTCAGTGGACTTTGGGGGGAGCGTCCTGTGAAAGCTCCAACTCTGCCGGTGCCGAAGTCGTGATTTGCGAGTCACTCGACACGTGGGAGTGTTCGGGCCGCTGAGATGGATGACGTGATCTCTGCAGGGCGGCGTACTGTCGGTTTGGGTGCTGAATATTGGGGCCGAATGCACAAAAGACAGGGCAAGAGCGTCATAAGCAGCTTTCTAAATGGGATTGGCACATTTCCTGTTGAATGAATTGTCTTGTAACAGGTGTCCGCATGTGTCTGCGCCAGTCCTCAGGGACCCCCAGACCGTCCACATTCACGCTTCTCCCAGCCACCTGCGTACCTATACCAGCTCTTTGGTGTTTTTGGGTGCTGGGAGGGAGCAATGTGGACTGCCTGGGGGCCCCTGGGACTGGGCGAGAAACACTGATGACCTGCAGGTGGCAGCATTTTGGGGTGACAGGGCACCTGGAGTGTGACACAGGACACTTTTCTGGGACAAAACCATGGCATGATAGGACCACGTGGATCTTCAGCTGAAACTTCTGGACCTCTTTCTCAAGGGATTAAAAGTATTAAGCTCAGATCCTTCAAGGACAGGGCTGTCTTTTTTGGTGCCCTTCTTATTCAGTTACAATTAAATTAATTTGCCGTCCACAATTAGGCAGTCGTGTCGGCCTTCAGATGAACGCTTTATGTCTACACTTGCCTGCTGATTATGAAGGATGGTGAGGCTCCCTACTCGTGGTTTTGTGAATTTCATTTAGCGCGATAGATTTCTGCATGATTAAGCAGATCATCCTGTGGGTGGTGTGGATTTTCACGTCTCGTCCAGTGAAATACAATTAATACGCGCGCGTGTGTGTGTGTGCGTGCGTGTGTCCTACAATGTAATAAAAACCTGTTATTTTGACGTGAATGCCAAAATTTTGTTTGGTTACTTATGATTACAGTTAGGGCTGGGTGGGGGTTAAGGTTATCATGTTGGGATTAGAGTTTCCGGCAAAGATATCAGTGGAGAGTCCCCACAAAGATATAACTACAAACCTGTGTGTGTGTGAGAGAGAGTGTGTGTGTGTGAGATTGACCATTGTGGCTGTATCGCAGTGACAATGTGGTGATGTGTTACATCCCACACTGTAAGCGCCAAAGTGCTTCAGCTGGATTTAAACATGCTCACTCATGCATGTTATATGCACTTGAGACGTCAAAAAAGGTTCTAGCCTTGCACCAGAAGATCCTTGTGGTTTGGAAAAACTCACGTCATCTCAATTCCTGAAACCAATCAGTCTAATTCCCTTACAACTGCAGCCCACACTGGACAGTCAGTTTAGTCTCTTGGAATGACACAGAGTTCCTTTTTAATTACAGTGTAAACTTACACTAGTGCTTGTTGATCATTTAGACAGTCACACACCCTATCATCACAGCACTGTGGTGGAAGAAATAAAAAATGATGCTGTCTGTTTTTAGAGTTTTTATTTCCCACTTAGGTCATATATCTGCTTTGTGAAGCCGCCATTGAGTCTTTTTTGGGGTGATACTGGGCTATAGATCAATCCCTGCTGGTTGTAATAGCCTATCTTAAGCAGTGATGAAGGTGAAGATGAAGTTCATGGGGGGGGGGGGGGTGCAGGGGGCAGAGAGGTCCGTACAGTAGATCCAGAAAGTAACCTTGGATTATCCAGGCTGAGCCAGTAACTTGGACCTTTGATCCTCCAGTTGTACAACCCGCCAGTTTAGTGTTTTTTGTTTGTTCGGGTGACCAATGGAGAACGATCTCGCAGCTCAAGAATTTGTTTTCACAGTGCTGTAATGCGAGAGACTCAGCCAGCGTGTAAATACAGGGATTGTGTGTCACTCTTTACGTGCGCGTTTCTGTATGAGAACAGATGAATGAAATACAATGTTACTGTGTCTACTGAGCACACAATTGGTAGTGTGTCCTCATGCTGATCTCCTTAAAGCAAGACTAAAATTACACCTTGTTAATGGAAATCAATTTGTATTGTTCTTGGGATGCTGAAGCATTGTGGGTAATAACTATACGTGTTTATATAAACACCTGCAGGTTGTAGCTTTGCTGAGATTCAGCTGCAGGAACCCAGAGTAACACGTCGGTTTGCACTCATGAATTGTTCTTCCTGCCGGACAGACAAGCCCGAAGTGAAGATCATTGTGGAGTTTCCCGAAGGCTTGACCAGAGAAGGAGAGAACCTTGAGCTAACCTGCAAAGCCAAAGGCAAACCTCAGTACGTCCGCTCTCAGTCGCCACAAATAAACACCCGCTTGCTCTCCTCTTTGGGAACGGCCCATAAGTTCAAAATCACAAGCAGATCACCCCAGATCTACTCTGTCCCTGAGGCCGATGGTCAGATCCGTTTTGCACGTGGTCAGTGTCAGTAAGCCATGTGACATAGGCACTGTAAGTCATCTGGACCTAAAGCTTGTGTTAATCTAATATACACTGATGGGAAATGTTCCCCAAAGCAGCCTTGGCAATAATGATGAGGTCGGCAGTATGGACTCAGCCGAGCAAATGCCCCCTGTGTTTTCGGTCTTCCAGGCCACAGCAGATTAACTGGGTGAAACTAGACGACGATGTTCCCTCGCATGCAGTAATAAAGGGCTCGGACCTGCTCATCGAGAACCTCAACAAGTCGTACAACGGCACGTACCGCTGCGTGGCCACCAACTCCGTGGGCGAGTCCTATGATGATTACATCCTCTACGTCTACGGTATGTAGGTCGGGGGCCCGGCTCCGGAACAACGGGCCGCCGCTCCTCCTCCCGGTGTGTCAGAAATATTATATGATGTTGTTCTCCTAGTCTGACCCAAAGAGGTTTCCTACCTCGCGGGAGAACGCTGCCCCCCCCTTTGGCTCTGGATGTACTCTGACATCGCCTATTGTATTATAAAACCTCTGCAGGGATGGGTTGGCACTACTTCTTTAGCAAAGGATCAATAGATTGAAAAAAATCAATTTTTGCAAAGGTTATATTTCTGTGAGAACTGAAATACCTGAATAGGTGTTCTATAAAAGACTTCACAATGGATACAATAGAGGGACACACTTCAGCAAGGGCTTAAATCCACATTGGCCTTTCTTGTTCAAAATTAGCAAATGGAGATGTGTATGGACAAGATCATTGTCATGTTTTCTTTGACAGTACACGAAACGCTGTCAACTAAAGGCACTGCTTCACCAAAGCCAATAGGCTTGTATTTTCTAAGATAGTACTGATCATTAGGAGAGCAGGGACAGGATTTAGGGGTAATTTAGGTGCAGAATGAGGGATGCGGCTGAGGACCAGGCAGGTTCTCATATGGATGAAATACCCACTAGGGGTCAACCTACTGCTGTAGTCCTGGCATGGATTAGAACCATTACTGAGGACGAGGTATGGATGAGATTGTTGCCATGGGTGAGTCTTGTCTTCCTGTCTTCCAAGTCCAGTTTTTGGATGGGGGCTTGTAGCTGTTGTCCTGGCTCCTTTGAGACTTATAGCTTTTGTCCAGGTTTGGATGAGACTGATAGCTGAGGTCGCAGGACGCAGTAACGGAGAGCTTGTCTGAACTCTGTGACTTTGCTTGTCTATGTTTCCAGCTCTGCTCCTGGCCTGCAGTGGGTCTGATTCAGCATGACCATTCTGTTATCTGAGACCAGAATTTTACTCGCAATCATTTCAACCCCAGCCTACCTGCTATAGATCTGCCCATCTACCAAAATACAGAGCATAACGTTCACCAGAATTCGGGAAATCCGAAAACTGTGCCATCAGCAACAACGCTAACCACAATTCTTCTGCGGAGAGCGGCCAGTGAGCCGAGATCGGGGCCGTGATGGATGTGCCTGAGCGAGCTTGTGTCTGAGAATCACCGCTCTCGCTGATGGAGCATGCTCCCTAATCTGGTTACGGTGGAAAAATGGATTCTTTGAGATGCATCTCAAAAGCAATTTACACACCCACGTTAAGAGCCCTGGAGTGGGACAGCGCCCGGCTCCGAGGAGCCTATAATGCATTTAGACTTGTCCTAACCTTATAAAAGTGGCCCTCAGTCCATCCTCAGTGTCTCGCCTTAACTAATGTCTCTTGCGAAATGGGACGTTTTTGGGATTTTCTCCATCAGGGGTCGCTTGGGGCTTGGTCACTCGGCAGCAGACCATTGCTGTAGATGTTGTGTGACAGAGAAGCTCACGTGGGCGTTTATGTAACTTCCTGTCTGTCTCCGGGGCTGTCCGCGCCAGCACCGCCTGCTAACCCGTCGTGATGACTCGTGGCAGCCTGCTTACTTTGCGCTTCTGCTTCTCCTCCTCACATGAATAATGTAGTCGTGCCTGGGTCCCAAGGCGGCCTGCGCTCTCTGCCATAATCACAGAAAAGCCCGATTTCCTTTTAGGCGTCTGTGACAGGGTTCAGACTCGCCGGCGGGCCACCACTGTATGGGAACAAGGATACCAGCAAACCCTAACCCCCGTGGTTCCGGTGAGGCCGTCCACATGTTCTGTGTGCTGACAGCTCTCCTTTTCTCTTTCGCTTTCGGCAAATTTGAGTACAGGTGCTTTCGGTCTCTCTCCCAGCCTTCGCCGGTGACTCATTCGGGTCACTTAAATCAATTCGGTGGAAGGAGAAAGTGTCTCCCTCTCTCTTTTTTGTATTAGGTTTTAACTGTAAAATCTCCGAGGTGTCTGTGTGCTGGCCTGTGCCCGGCCATATTCAATAAAGTGGCTGTGTCTATAGAAAAAATAAAAAGCATCCCCTTGCAGGCATACATTTCCATGGGGAGCTTGACAAACATTTGAAAGTCAAATTCCTCACGTTTTTTGATTTGCACTCCATCCCGTGTATCTTTGTTTTTCAGGTTTCCCATAAGGGGATGTAGGGAAGTCACTGTCGTTTCTGTCTGAGTTCACTTCAGAGCACCTGGACTCTGCAATATGTAGGGCTTCTTTATTCCCCAGACAAATTGTCTGCTCTGTCTATCCAATATCTTCCCCAGGATAAGTGACAGGACAGGCTGCCTTTGAAAATTAAGCTCACCCAGCCTCTCACGAATGGGTGTCACTTGAACTGCCCGAATAATACAGTGACCTTCCACTCTACTCACCCACTGTAGAGTCTTCTTTCCTTTCTGTTTTGCACTTGAGCTTATTATCTTAAACTGTTATTACACATTTTTTTCTGGTGAGATACTGTAGATGTGTTCACCTAGATTGTGTTGTGTGTTTTTTTCACAGAGCTCATTACCTATTAGCTGACTTCACAGAGGGACTGTCTGAGCAGAGACTGGTCATCTGTTCTGTCAGGCATCACGGGCTGAGCTTTGATTGGCTGCTCTAGCACAAACAGCCGGGTCTCTGAATGTTCTGCCTGACGCAGATGCATTAAGTGGCACTAATCGTGGCATATGACCATAAATCATCTACTGGCCACTCAGGGGACTGGCAGACAGACACACACACACACACACACAGAACCTGTAGGGATAATAAGATGGGTTCACAAGGAGGTCCAATCCTCCATTAGCCTGCCCTGGAAATGTCCAGCCCTCGCTGTCCTCGGGGATGTCCCCGAACCCAGCCAGACGCAGATTTAATGAGCCTGCTCGTTAGAGTCCAAACAGTTGGATCGATTCACGATCAGTCCCCAGTAGACATCAGTAAGCTTTGAATCCTTCAAGAGGTCGTTGCTAATTTGTTTGTAGGAGCCTGTTGCAGCTTTCATGTATCTGGCCCTTCTTAAGCAGAACTTTCAGCTTCCTGCCAGCTGGGCAGGGCATGGCTGACATTTACACCATATATGGGCCGAGTATATCACAGAATTTTAGCAATGTGTTGAGTATTTGGCCCAGACAAAATTTAATAGTTGTTTATCACATAAATGTTGAATATTATTTTTATGCTTTAAATGCATATTTATTCAAATTTCTCTCACTGCAGGTGCAGGTGGTCTTCAGGCTGAGTATTTTTAAGTACATTTATTTTCATTTTACTCTTTTTTTTTTTTTTCCCTATGGATTAATGTAAATGACATTCATACCGGTGTTCAAGTTTCACCCCACAGTCCAAAGACATGCAGTTAACTGATTTGCTGTCCCTAACTTGCCCATAGTCTGTGTGCCCTGTGACGAACCGGCATCCTATCTAGGGTGTCCCCCGCCTTTTGCCCTGTGATGGACCGGCATCCTATTCAGGGTGTCCCCCGCCATGTGCCCTGAGATGGACCGGCATCCTATTCAGGGTGTCCCCCGCCATGTGCCCTGAGATGGATCGGCATCCTATCCAGGGTGTCCCCCGCCTTGTGCCCTGTGATGGACCGGCATCCTATCCAGGGTGTCCCCCGCCTTGTGCCCTGTGATGGACCGGCATCCTGTCCAGGGTCTCTACTGCTTTGTGCCCCGTGCTGCTTGGAATAGGCTCTAGGTCCACCCACGAATGACTAAGTTGTTGGAAGATGGTCGGATGGATGAATTTAAATTTTTTTAGTAAAAAATAAATACTAGCTTGACCCTTGTATGCCTTCCTAAAAACGTCCTGGAGTGGGATTTTTTTTTTGGCAGACTGTTTTTGGGAGAGCAGAGCCCTCCTCCACTTTCTGTCCACTGGCAGGAGCAGTTTCATGCAATAGAAAGAGAGTAATTGACCTGACAGTCCTGTGCCGTGAATCACTGTAGTTTACGACAGCTAGCAACTTTCCTGTGACAACTTATGATCTATGTGAGAGCTTTATCAGCATGGTCCTCATACAGATCTGCTGGAGCCTCCCGGCGTCAGAGCGCCATGCGGCCACTCAGCGCTGCAGGAGTAACACACAGTTGTCATTTAAGCTTTATTTCTCGCATTTGGTTTGATAGTATCATGCCGGGGATTTTCAGCCTTTATAAACTAGGGGCTCCCAAATGAAGGCAGACCAGTGCTGCCCCCACCCCCCACACCACCACTAAAAACTGATCACACAAAAGAATAAATAACTAAGAACTCAGGAATTGAAGCAGGGGGAGATATTAGTTTTAGTCCCCCCTTAATACTTTTTGTGTTGCCTAAACCAGTTGATAATACGGCTATTTATGGAGAGTCTCTGTCCCCCCCCCCCACCCCCATTTTCTCTGGGGACTACAAAGCGCTGCATTACACTCTTTAAAGTGAGCTCCATGCTTCTTACAACACATAACATACCTGTGCCGACCTCAGCCTCCTCGCCCCCTACGCTGTCCCTCGAGTGCTGAGGCCCAGCTGGGAAATAGGAATAATTAGTGATATTAGTAAAATTAAAAAACATCTTAACATGACTAGAGCACCGTCATATATATTTTTGTGTTCATTGCAGTTTTTTTAACATTTAGAATTATTCCATTTTGAAAGTACCTGAGAAGGTCACGTCTTAAATTAGTGCTGCATTTAATATGTATTTTTCTGTAGTGGAAAATCATAGTGAGGACAAGATGGCCACCCTCTGGAGGTGTTAGCCAGGTCAGATTGCAGCAGTTGCTTTCACAGGGCGCAGGGAGCCTTCAGTCTGCCACCTCTGCTGCTGATGTCACCCCACACTACCACCCTGCCTCAGCGTGGCAGGCGCACACACCGGCGTGCCTCACACCTCGCACGGCAGGCTGCGGTCTACCCCATGCCATACCGTCCAGCCTGTTTCTGGTGCGAACTCTCCTCTCCTTTCCTTTCCGGTCCACTCTGAATGCCGCACGTTGGCTCTGGACTGCTCGGGCTTCCGGTTTCCCACGGACCAGTTGCTCGGCAGTCAGTCCCGCACCATTGTTCCATTTGGGGGGGGTGCAGTGCCACATGCCACAATGCTCCTAGCAGCAGGCCCTTCCCTGCTGGCCGCCACTCACCCCCCAACTCGGGGGGCCGTGGGACCCGACCTCGCCTTCATTGTTCAGTAGGAGAAATACGGCCACTGTTACAGAATCTTCCGCCTGCCCGTGGAATGGGTTTCGCTGACGGGATACAGGCGTGGGGACAGCCTAGTCTGCACGATTTCACATTCGTATGGCCAGATAAAGAACATATTTTAGTTAGAAGTCTAGTGGGCTCTGGTTGGTGTTACTGTGCAGTGTTCTGGCAGTCAGGCTGAGTCACAGAGATGTTCTTGTGGGACCTCGAAATCTGGCTGTTATGGTGTGACTCTGGTAGTGATTGTACGTGTGACCGACCCTAATACCCAGTGACACCTGGGAAGTAGAGCAAAGATCACCTGTATTCTCACAGGAAGGCGGGGGGCAGGCTTTGGCCTCAAACACTTGAAGGCTTGTCTAGGCTGTGCCCTGGGGGGGGCTGCGCCCTCAACACTGACACTCAGATCGCAGTTATACGCAGCCTTCAGCACTCCAAGCACACTGTCCTTCAGCATCATCTTACTGTGTAGCTGACTTTTTGTGTAGCCCTGTTCCCAGAATTGTGGTTGATATGAATTAAATCTCTATTTGATTTCAGTCTCAGGCATTATGCTGGGATCTTATCAAGAGTCCATAAAGGAATGTGCTTACTGCCAGTAATCATTAATGGTTATTAACTAGTTACTGCGGTGTTGGTCGGTCAGCAGTATGAAATAGGAACGGCCATGCATTCTGGACTCGTTTCCCTTGTTCTTGAAATGAGTTTCAGTGAGTTTCGATGACTGAAGTCAGTGAGAGCTCTTTGCCAGACAGTTATCATTCCTGGGAAGGATGGAAGATTGAGGAGCTTCTGTTCACCTACATTTTCCATTGCTCCATGTGCATCAGCATTTCCTTCCCATCCATGCTCCCCATCCTGCTGTACAGCTGCTTTTCTTCTGCTTATTTTCCTCATTTTTGTTGTGTCATCAGTGTTTTTATTTCTCCATCCAGATGTTCTCACCACCACCTCTGTTCCCACTTCCAAGACCCCTGTCCCAGACGGAAGCCGAGGTATGGTAGCACTGTGTGTGTGTGTGTGTGTGTCTGTGTGCGTGTGTGTGTGAGTGGGTATTCCTTACCTTATGGGGACACAATGTCCCCACAACGTGATGAATACCCATTTTTTTCTCTTATGGGGACCAAATCTGTGACTGTAATGAAAAAACTAAAAATGGTTAGGGCTGGGTAGGGGTTACGGTTGTCATAACTAGCGTTAGCATTTTTCCAATAGAAATGAATGAGCGGTCCCCATAAAGATATGTTTACCCGACATGTGTGTGTGTGTGTTTGTGTATGTGTGTGTATGTCTGTGTCTGTGTGTGTGGGGGTTTGCACATGTACATTGCGGGAACATTAATATGATAAAAACTTGCTATTTTAATGTTGTGGGGACCATTTTTTTTTCCCCACAAGGGGAAACTCAATTTTATAAAGATTTCTGACTGCAATCAAAAAACTAAAACTGTCAAAAGGCTTGTATTTTATTTGGTTACTTATGGTAAAGGTTAGGGCTGGGTAGGGGGTAAGGTTTTCCTATAGCAGTTTTCCATTGTAAATTAATCGAGCTGACATGGTCCTGCTTACTAGCAGGTCAAAAGCATGACCAAACTGAGCTGGTTGCATTACCACCATCTGATTGGTCTAAATGCACAGATATTCTGCACACGGATTATCCATCCATCCATCCATTTTCTGAAATCGCTTGTCCTTATCAGGGTCACGGAGGTCAGGGGCCTATCCCCGATGCATGTATTATCTGAAGGAAAAAGCTTTTATTCTATATATTATTCATTGCTGAAAACTCAGAACTTGAGAATTTCTAACCTTCTATTAATAAGTATTATAGAACAACTGAATGGAATAGATTCATAATGCAAATTTACACAAGAGAATGCTAATTATGGTAGCATTTCATACTTGTATCATGCAGTGATTGTCACAGACATGCTAGCGGAAATTAGCATACAGTAAAATAAATAATAATAATTGCACATAGTAAATCATGATGTATGCCATGTGAAGAGTAAATAAGCTTTTCTTTGGTATTACGTCACTGTCACACTCCAAATTTGAAAATGCCAGTACTGAGCTGAGCTTGCTACTGTATGATGGAAAACTGAAGCAAGTTAGAACCGTGCAGTAATTAGTCTCTTTTCGAGGTACGAGTCAGGTAGGGGCTGGTTCTTGTATGCCAGTGGAAAAGCGAATTAGGGCTTTTCCCATAAAAACTAAAGGACAATCCTTACAAACATATGAATGCAAATCTGTCAGTTTGAATCTCAAGGTAGGTGTTCTCATTTTGATAGCCCAGATACTTTTTCAGCTCCCTGTGATAAGGTCCTTGTTCTTATAGTGATAGCCCAGGTACAGTGTCAGCCCTTTGTGATAAGCTTCCCTGTTCTTATAGTGATAGCCCAGGTACAGTGACAACCCTCTGTGGTAAGGTCCCTGTTCTTACACGATAGCCCAGGTACATTTTCAGCTCTCTGTGATAAAATCCCTGTTCTTACAGTGGTAGCCCAGGTATAGTGTCAGCCATCTGTGATAATGTTCCTATTCTTACAGTGATAACCCAGGAACAGTGTCAGTCCTCTGTGATAAGATCCCCATTCTTACAGTGATAGCCTGGGTACAGTGTCAGCCCTTTATGATATGGTCCCTATTCTTGCAGTACTAGCCCAAGTACATTTTCAGCTCTCTGTGATAAAATCCCTGTCCTTACAATGATAGCCCAGGTATAGTGTCAGCCCTCTATGATAAGGTTCCTGTTCTTACAGTGATAATCCAATTTTTTTTTTGTTATGTTTAGTTGTGAAACAGCGGCCTAAACAGTGTCAGTCTTATTTTAAATGATGAAATCTTTACTGTTGAAGAAATATTTTAGAATCTCTTAAATCGCATACTTTCACAATGTGACTATAGCAGGGGTGGGCAGTCTTATCCACAATGGGCCGGTGTGTATGCAGGTTTTCACTGCAACTCCCTAATTAGATTACTAATTAGAGGACTGACTGGCTGAAGAGTCCTCACACCTGGGTTTGTACAGCTGACCTAAAGGTTGTCCCACAATCCTGCATATACAAGGGCCCTTTGTGGATAAGACTGCCCACCCTTGCATGATATACATTGCTCCCTGCTCCTGCCCCC